AGCAATGAACACGTTTATGAACTAAAACTTGATATCCAGCAAGCTCAACATGTTGATAATATGAATCAAGAAGAGTTGAGAGCTCAAGGGATCCACAAAGGTCATTTCCCATTCAAACTAGGTCAAGTACTTGTGTGAACCTCCCTTAGAAGTAACTTGACTTGCAAGTTACCTCAAAAATAGGAAAAAGGCTCAAAATAATCCAAATAAAATCTCAAATGAACATTAAAATGTTGGAAACCAGAGGCCAAAACCACAAGGGCAATGTTCCCACAAAGCATCAGCAAAAGAAATAAATCCCTAAGGTGCACCACTTTGGAATGGAATAATCGAGGGTCAAACAAAATGACTTAAAAGTCAAACCAAAAGTGGTCAAACCAGGGGCAAAAGTGTTCTAAAAAATCATTCAACTCATTATTGAAATGAGGAATGATTCTCATTCATTGGATCAAAAGAAAAGATCAAAAATAAAGCATGAAACCAAAATAGCAAGAAAGAACTCAATTAAAAACACTTCCAAAGAATAAACCCCATTTTAAATGAAAAATAATCCAAAAAATAAAATAAAAATTTCCTAAAATTAAATGACATCTCAAAATGTCATAAAAATATTTTTGTGGAATTTTATCACTTTTAGAAGTATTTTTAAAAGAATTAAATCAAAACAGAAAAGAAAATAAAAATAAAATAAAAGAAATAATTGAAACGGTGCAAATAGAAAAGGAATCAGTTCATTGCCTTGGGCTCAAACTGGGAGGGGGTGTGAAAAGCACATGAGGCGCAAACCACAACCAACTGAATCCAAGAATGAAACGATGTGTTTCACTAAAACGCGTGGCATGTCAATGCACACGCTGGCTGGTCAGCGCAAATCACAGCCGTTGATCTCGCTCGGTCAAAGATTCAACGCTCACACCTGGAAAGCCACACAGGCAAAATAGAACTTGGACCAGACGCCAGAACAACTGTTCCGGTCGTCTTCTCCGGCAACACCACCCGAGTTGCAGGTTTAAATCAACACCAAAACGTGCGAAATCTTATACCAAAATGATTGCCAGACCACGTAGAATCCAAATCCAAGCTTAGAATTCATTAATCATTCATAATTAAAGCAAATCGAAGGATCAAAGTTTTGAGCATCAAACTGAAATTATCACAAACATCACAAATAATGATCCAGAATTTGCCTACACATGTAGGTCTTCAGTTTGCAACAACAATGGCGTAGAATGGATGCATAACATGAGAGAAATCTTGATTAGAAAAATACCTAATGGAGTCTCTCCGTTGGAGCTTCAATTATGCTCAAGCTTGATCCAATTTACGCAGAAACACTCAAGGAAGTTCAAGGAAGGTGATGCTGGCTTTGATTTGAGTTGAAAATGCTTGAATCTCAATTCATGATTTTGAAAATGCTCTTCACTTTTCCAATTGTGCTCAAGCTCTTCTTCCACGAAAATGGCTGAATGAAGCTTCAAAATTCATCTGAAGCTTTTATATGTTGGATCTAGAAGTAATTGGAGGCCCAATTTGGCCTGATTAGAGTGCAATTCAAAAATGCCCAAATTGGAAATTCAAGCTTCATGCACACGTAAATTGGCTCCAATTTCCTTTGAAAATGATTCAAACCAGTTGCTGGGAGCTTGTAGTGATCATGTGGATGAGAATTGATCCTTAATTTGATCCAAGGTTGGATATTGGATGTGAAACTTCTTCTTGAAGTAAGCTTGAATTTTCTCGTGTATTTGCTTGCATACCTCAAATCCAATTTGTGCATTCTCCTTGTTATGATATTGTGACTCAAAATAAGCACAAACATGACATGAAAATGAATTAAAACCAATTCAATTTAATTCATGACTTTAAGTCCAAATTTCCAGTGAATTTCTTCACCAATCTTCATATCCATTCCAAATATATGATAACTCGATGTTCCATGATGGAATTGATATCATTTGGAGCAACTTTCATGTTGGGAAAAGTTTCATTTGAAGTGCATAAGATCATGAACAAGACCTATAATCAAAATGACCTATAATCTCACTTTCCCAAAATACCCCTGCCTTGCAAGCTTCATAACTTGAGTTCTACAAATGAGATGAAGGACTTATAAGACTTTTTGGAAAGATAAGATCATGAGGAACAACTTTCATGTTCATCAAAAGTTGAGGAGAAACATAATTCTAAGTCAAAAGTGTCTGGGAAGTTGGTTGACTGAAAATATGATTCATCTGAGACCTCTAACTTGCCAACACCATAACTTGAGTTCTAAAAACCCAATGGATGAGTTATAGTACTCAAAAGAAAGATAGGAACATGGTCTACAAGTTTAATGTTTATGTCAAAGTGAGATTACACTTTTGTCTTGAGATATGTGGTCTTGAAGTTAGGCACTAAACAAGGAATTTTACACTGACAAACCTCTGAAACCCTAATTTAGTAACTTCTCACACTCTTGATTCTTCTTGAATTGATCTTGAAATAACATCTTAGATGCCTCAACACAACTTTCCAGGACTCCAAAGACTTAAAACTAAGTTTTAATCTCCTTCAAATCCTCAATGGATCTTGCACTAGGCAGATGAAACCCTAGGTGTATAATCCTTTGACTGCAACCTCTTGCACATGATATAACAATTTGCATAAGCTCCACAATGGCTCTCAAAGCACTCAATGAGCTTCACAACATCTCATATTCATATCCATGAACTTATGATCCTCAGACAATCTTCAATTGGCCTCCAAGGTAGGAGATAAGCAATATACATCCATTCACTTTCTCAAAGAGCTCTGACCAGCTTCTGATGACTTGATGAGCACTTAAACTTGTTTGGAACCCTTGACAAACCTCCTCTTGCTATGCACACCTCTTGATCCCCTGCAAATGAACAATGATATGCAAATGCAAATGCTAGAACAATGCAATGAAAACATAAGCCAAGTAAAGAAAAGGATGGGCAAATTTTGGGGTACAACAAGTATGACGCAACTTCAAAAAAGATCTCTTACTTGGATGAAGATACTGCTGCAACATCTCAAGAATCTGACACCTCTAACTAAACGCTCATGGACTATATGGTGGATCTTCATCATGAGATGTTGGAAGAGTTTGGACAAATGTCAGTTAGGCTTAACCGGATGGAATATCAGCAGAAGGAAGTCAATGATGGTAGAGATATGGATGAAGAATAAACCTATTTGTTTTGCTTATTTCCTATTATATTTTGAAACTTTGCTTATTTTGTTTTAAAGTACTATGGTTATATAACCGAAGATAAGTTTGAATGTTTGTTTGGCTTATTATGTATGCATGTTTACTTGGATGTTATTATTTGTGTATGATTATGTTTGAATGTTTATTTTCTTATGTTTTGCTATCTTTCACCCACTTCCTTTTTGAATATGCCAAAAGAGGGAGGAGGATGTATGTTTGTATTCTCTCTTGTTCTAAAATTTTTAAGGTACTTAAAAGTTTAAAGAGAAGAATTCAAGAGTTCAAAAATTGAGGGGGAGAGACATTCATTATAGGATGGGTTCTTTCATAAAAAACATAAATATCTCTCAATTTATCGTCATCAAAAAGGGGGAGAATGTGAAAACAATCTTATTTGAAATGTTAACATCGATGAATAATAAATGACTATCAAAAAGGAAAGTGTTCAAGAAGACGAAGATAGCTTATATTCTTAAGTTCAAGAATTGAGATTGAATCATTAACCAAGGTACTCTAATTAGCCATTCACTTATGTAGTTATATGCTCAAAACTTCATCTCAATTCTTTTTAAGTTTTTCCAAACTTTTCTTTTGCATAATGTTTCAATTCATAGTTTTTTAAGATGAAAAACTCAATTTTTTAATTAGTGTAATCGGTTAGCATAATAAGTCGATCAGTTACATTTTGGTTTTGCCTAATTTTTTTTAAAATTTTTATATAGTTTAACCGATTGACAAAATAAGGCAACCGATTATACCTGTGAAAATTTGAAATTTTTTTAAATATTACAAAAAAATTAAATCTTGAGTATTTTCTAAGCATTGTCATTACTTTCTAGAAGTATCATAAACACTATAAAAATCAGAATTTTTCATGTATCAAATTACCTCTTCCATTTCAATTTTTCACAAACAATTCAAAACATTCCATGCTTGAAACTTTTTTTGCATACTTTCGAGAAAAATTTCTGAACAATCTAATTGTATTATATTTGAATTGTTTATCGGAAGAGAATATCAATCTCTATATAGATACTGAGTCAAAGTGTTATAATCTAATTGTATTATATGTACAAGAACTTATTTCAAATATTTATTCAAAATTTTGTTTTGATCACAAAGTGTTAGCGATCATTGTATGCAATAGAAAGTAATGTGTTTTTTTTGTGTGTGTTATAAAATTATAAGGTAGTGTGCTTTTGTGATTCCGTTAGAATGTTAAAAGAGCTTTAGTGGTAGCCTGTAACGGTTTCTAACATTGTTAAATCTCTCTTTGAAGTGTGTGAGGAAAGTAGAGTAATTTTGTTTAAAAAGATAAATCATAATATATTATTGTATTTTTTATTTTTCTGCATTTATATTTATATTGTGGTCAATCTCCAACTCTCAGTTGCTTAATATTACATGGATATAAGTTGTAAAACTTAATTTTTCTACCATTGGAGCATATTTACGTGGAAGTCTGTTGCTTAATTTTTGTGTGTCAACTGCTAGCTGAAGCAACTTAAAAAATGTGTTTTTTTATCATTAAATGATATTAATTTTTATAATTGTTAAATATGAATTAATTGGATCAAATATAAATTGCTTATTGAAATCACCATTAAAATAAAATTAATTTAGATCGATTAAATATTGCTTAAATTACAACGCACACGTAGATTATTAGTTAGTACATATACAAAATGCTGTTAAAATAAAATTAAAATTCAATATCGCAACTTTTCAAACAATAAGTAAAAAACTTTTAGTCCAAAGGAACTCTAAACGTAAGCCCTGATCGGCGATGGAGGAAGCAACCGGCAGCGGCGGTGGGATTCATTGGTTGTGGGCGGTAGCCAGTGGTGCTCAAATGGGATGGGGTGTGCGTTCATACCGTAAAGGCTACCCAGGGGATTCGTGCCTCATGCCTTTGAAAGCTTTCTCTGTTGCTTCTCTCTTCATAGGTAGTGCTGCTTCCGCTTCTATCTTCATTCTTCAGACTAATGGCATCCATGGGGTAATACTATCTTTTTATTTCTTGCTTGTTATTGTCGTTATTTTGTTTTATGTTGTATAGCTTTTTTGTGATGCAAGTTTTGCAATGAAATGGAATGTGATTTTAGGGTTTTTTTTGTACCGAGTGAAAGTGGTGCATTGGGAATTTAGAGTATTGTGAACAGTGTCCTATATTAAAAAGGATGAATATGTTTTGTATTATGAAGCACGGACACCGGTCACTGACACGGTCGAATCCAGTCAAAACTGTATCGTGTTGGTTTCGGTGTCCGACATGGACACATCTTTTTTCAGACACGTCGAATCCAGTCATAACTGTATGTGTTGGTTTCGGTGTCCGACACGGACACATCTTTTTGCAGAGGTGTCGGTGCTATAGAGGTTTTATATGATAATCAGCTTGATATTCATATGTGAAAAGAATGGACTATTTTCATAATCATGAATTTTGAATCTTATTTTGAATTTTTTGATACATTATTAATACAGACATGATAGTTTTATCTAAACAAGTGACATGGCTAAACTATAGGCTGATAGTCATTAATCGTTTGACAAAAAATAAGGTCGACAATACAAATTGACAAAAAAGTGACTATCCTAGGTTTAGGTAGTGAATTTTATAATGAATTGGGATTCAATATAATGGATTGTGATTTAATAGAAGATTCATATCCAAAATAGATATATCCACTAGGGATTTGTATCAATTGAGTTTAACTTTGTATTGAATTGAGATACGAATCACAAGTGTCATAAGATTCTTATACCTATGGTGTTTTGAGTCGAGGAAAAGGGATGGGTTTGTGTGATAATGTGAGTTGTGAAATGGGTTTTTGGTGGTTTGTGGGTTTCTAGTGGTATCAGAAAGCTGGGCTTGGATGAGGATTTTCATAAGTCGAGTTTGCAACAAATAGAGGGCCCTGTTGTTTGTAGACTGAAAATATGTTTGGATGAAGATGTAGTTTTGTGGAGGTATATATTATATAATGGATGAACTCATGTCCTAAGGTAATTATAGAAAGTGAGAGTGGATTCTGATATGGGTTTTTGTTTACCTGTAGTTCATTGGATTCTGATATGGGTTTTTGTTTACCTGTAGTTCATTGGATTCTAGTGATTGTTAAGAAGATTTGCTTCTAAGCCATTCAAGATATAACAATGAAATCCAACACCAAGTGTATTTTTCTTCAATGGCTTTGATGGCGGTCTTAATATTGATATCCATTCCATCCACCTTTTGATTAATTGTCTGTTTCTTCAGCAACATCAGTTTCTAAATTATTGACAAATAATTTTTTTCTAACAAAATTTGAAAAATGGACAAGATTGATAAAGTAAGCTTAGATGAAAATATTCCAAGTATCAAGATGGATAATATAGGCCCGATCAGACCACAGTGAATCTATTTGGCCAGATTGTGTGTGAATAAAGCAGTGAATACAACTGTTATTATGATTGTAGTTTTAGTTGAGATCAAATTAATTCTTATTGAATATTTATACTATAGAGTATTAGTATTGTAGTGTATAGATTTTTTTGAATTAACTTATTTGAGTTTATCTACTACTAGCATAAACACTTGTGAGATTGTTTTAAAAAACTTGTTATAACATTTCCATAGATTGTTTTGTATTTCAAATGTTCAACCATTGACTTTTCTTGATGCTAAGTTGTAACTTGCAAGTCATATTGGGGGTGTGCTTTTGGAAACATTTCAAGTTTATAATAAAGTAAGTGACATTTCCCATTTCCTACTTTGTTATGCATGATGTGATGCATGGACGTCCCTAAATATTGTGCATTGTTCTGAGTGAATGTCCGTAGAGTCGTAGACAATCAAAGTGCAACTGGAAGCAATCGATTCTAGCGAGTTGTGTTGTCGAGTCTTCCGATTTTAGAGCTGAGTTGCTGATGTTATCATTGGTTGTGTATAAGTGATTAGATACACTGGATGTCACATTTGGTTTTCGGTTGAACTAATCAGACTAGCCTGTCATATCTGAGGTTAATAACAATGTTTTTAACTTTTGTCTAGGTAACTTCAACCCTTTCTGAACACCTAAAATATTGCAACTCAACTCGTTATTTTGCTGTTTGTGATGGATGATACACAATACTACAGATGGTTATGCCAAAATCTAATTTGGAAGCCAGATCATAAGGGATTTCACTGTTCACTAATCATACTTTGACCATAGTTTAAGATGTTTTTTTTTTTACCATAGTTTAAGATGTTAAAATGATTAGTTTAATAATGCTTAGTTATTATTGTAGATGTCAAGAGAACTAGTGGTGCTCTTTATACGTGATTATGGTATCTGTTTCCTTTCAAGTGGTTTTCAGTAAAATAAAAGATCTGATCTAGATGTAAGATCTCATTATGCCCAGATATTATATTCTCACGTACTAAATGTTGTTGCATATAGGTGGATGATCTCATTGACGCCGGTGCCAATTTAAGAGCTAAACTTGGGTTGCGTCCACGCAGGCCGAATAAGTAAGCAAGTTTAGTTTTTGGATAAAGTAAGCAAGTTTGTTTTTTTGGATAAAGTAAGCAAAAGATTTAGTTCATGTGAAGAAAATATATCTGCAACTGGGCTATGTAAGATCACTATCTTTAGTTTAGAATGTGGTTTACCTCTCATGAGATTTGGATGTTGGAAAAAAGTTAAAAGATTAGTGTTTCAGTTACTGTATTAAATGAAGAATTTGATAACAAGTAATCTATGGGTGCTGGTTACACATTGGAAGTAAAGAATTATAAAATGATAAGTGAAAGCATTTACTACCTGGAATGTTTAAACTACATTTTATTTTATTTCTTTCATTCAAGTAAATGAAAGAATAACTTGTAGTGGATAAAAAAAAAAAGAATAACTTGAAGAGTATCAAATGCTTTTTAATCAGCGCATTTTTATTTATTTTGTCAAAAACAAGATATGGTTATTTCCACCATATTCTTTACAAATATTTAAGAGGAAACAGAGTGGAAAAATGGTAGCTGTTATGTAATTAAAAGTGAAAGCGGGTTTTAAAAATGCATTCACCTTATTTATCCTCCATCTACTCTCTCTCCCGCTAACGATTAATTCTTACAGTATTTGTGAATTGTATAGTGAAATTCATGTCTTTTTCTTTCTTAAATAATCTTTACATCTTCTATGGAATGAAGTATTTAATTTTGTTTGAGTAGGAATATGGATGAGTCCTAACCAAATACTCAGTCACATCTTGTGCTATTACTTGGCGGGTGTGGTTGCTTGGTGGAGAAGCAGTCATAGCACACCGTGGTTTGGTTCCTTGTCAGGTTGAAGGTTTCATGTGCAGTTCAAAAATAATATGATTATTAGAGCTCATTTTGTGTGCAACTTGTAATACTTTGTCATCCATTATATATTTTTCATTGGTCTTAGTTATTGATCATGAAGTGTAGTTTTGTAGAGCTTCAGTTTTTGTAAGACACAGCTTATGAATTCCTACATCATACATTAGTATGCTATGAGTAGTGATGCTAGCTGTTAAGATATAGAGTAGAATCAATCACATTGATATAGAATTTATGAAAATTCAAATGGTTTTATACTCTGTTGTCTTGCAATATATCACAATCTAGTGACCAATTTGCATGACCTGAAATAATAATCAAGTTGTTTGTTTGATTATAATCTAGTCATTTATTCCTACTCCAATGTAAAAGCTCGTAAACTTGATATGCTTTATCATCTTGAAGTTTGATTGGTCTCTTTGCTCAAGGATTTGAGGAAATATAGCTCACACCTGTTTGATTATAATGAGGAAGTACGTTGAACTCTCTCTCCACCCGAAAATGAGCGATCCTTTTCGAAAATAGGATGACTAAGATCTGCATATGCACAGAGTTTTACTGCGAAACACAGTATTGCAGCTTTGCCTTAGCATCTGCAGCATCTTTTCTGGTTGAAGGAAGATGGTTGAAGAAAGTGTCGTTTGAAGTTCTTCCCGTGCAAAAGTTAAATTCAATTGCAAAACATGGAGAAACTCTATTCAATACTTCCTATACACAAACAAGGTAGCTTCTACATCTATATAGCACGGCCACTGAGATATAAATTAAGGTAAGTCCATCATAAAACACTTAGTTTATTCAATGGTAAGTCCATCTATTCCAACAACAAATGCTAAAATCTGTTTGGATTGATTCATTTGAGGATGTCAATTGACATAAATTTTTTGAAATTGTTTGTCCAAACATGTAAGATTAGAATGAACTTAATCCATTTATTTATTTTGAAAATTGTTGATGATTCATTTAAAATTCATGTAAATCACCGACAACCTAATTCTTAAGGATATGGTTGACTAGATCTCAATGTTTGTCATTTGAGAGTTTTTTAATCCACCCCTTGATATTCTTATGCTTCTGGAGATGTATCTACGGACAAAGTTTTGGAGATACACCTTCGAAATCTTATCAGAACAGTTATTTTTAAAAAAAAAAAATTCAATTTTGTTGGTCGTAAATGAAAATTAACTGTTGCATATAAATATAAAATGACATACATCTTGGAAATAAAATTATATATATATATATATATATATATATATATATATATATATATATATATATATATATATGTATATATATATATATATATATATATATGTATATATATATATATGTACATATATATATATATATATCTATATGTATATGTAGCTATATATCTATATGTATATGTAGCTATATATCTATATGTATATGTATCTCTATATATATATATATATATATATATATATATATATATATATATATATATATATATATATATATATATATATATATATATATATATATATATATATATATATATATATATATATATATATATATATATATATATATATATATATATATATATATATATATATATATATATATATATATATATATATATATATATATATATATATATATATATATATATATATATATATATATATATATATATATATATATATATATATATATATATATATATATATATATATCTATATATATATATATGTATATATCTATATATATATGTATATATCTATATGTATATATCTATATATATATATATGTATATATATGTATATATATATATATATATATATATATATATATGTATATATCTATATATGTATATGTATATCTATATATATATATATATATATATATATATATATATATATATATATATATATATATATATATATATATATATATATATATATATGTATATATATATATATATATATATATATATATATATCTATATATATATATGTATATATATGTATATGTATATATATATATATATATATATATATATATATATATATATATGTATATATATGTATATGTATATATATATATATATATATATATATATATATATATATATATATATATATATATATATATATATATATATATATATATATATATATATATATATATATAAAAGAAGTAATATGGTACATCAATGTCATAAAAATATAGTACATCAAAAAAATATCACAATCACTACTGCGTGTGCCTGACCGCCCTGTCTCTGTCGCCTCGTCTGCCTCTCCCGCCTTCTCAACCGCCCGGTCTGCGTCCTCGACCATCGATCCCACCTATCCTGACGTGATGCATGCGGTATATATATATATATATATATATATATATATATATATATATATATATATATATATATATATATATATATATATATATATATATATATATATATATATATATATATATATATATATATATATATATATATATATATATGAAATACAAACCAAACTGCAACTAGTATCAGCACAGAAACAACACAAATTATGTTGAAGAATGGTTTCGTAATGAATCCGAGCAAACACAAGAAATATCAGGCATCGATCACGGCGACCTGTTTCGCATATCAAGTTCAGGGATCATGGAAGCCAAAGCCCCAAAATGGACCATAAGGAATCAGTTCAACGCAACACAAATCATACCAGAAAAATGCAGAGAGAGTCAGGAAAGCGCATCAGCAACAGGCGTAAACTACACCCGCGTATCAGTTCAGGAGCCAAACAGGGCGCGAACAATATATATATATATATATATATATATATATATATATATATATATATATATATATATATATATATATATATATATATATATATATATATATATATATATATATATATATATATATATATATATATATATATATATATATATATATATATATATATATATATATATATATATATATATATATATATATATATATATATATATATATATATATATATATATATATATATATATATATATATATATATATATATATATAAGAAGTAATATGGTACATCAATGTCATAAAAATATAGTACATCAAAAAAATATCACAATCACTACTGCGTGTGCCTGACCGCCCCGTCTCTGTCGCCTCGTCTGCCTCTCCCGCCTTCTCGACCGCCCGGTCTGCGTCCTCGACCATCGATCCCACCTATCCTGACGTGATGCATGCGGTACAAAAGTGCCACTATTGCCACCACAATGATATCATCCAATATGCGCTTGTCGTCAGGCCCCTTAGGGAAGAAACTAGCGACAATGCCTGCTCGCCCCATCTCCATTATCTCATGACAGTGAGGCAGGACATCCTGAGTGTGGTCTAGCTGAGACTGCTGCTCCTCTAAAATCTTTTGATGAGCTGGTCTGAGTGGTGATCCCTCGGCTGTGGGCACTATGTAGGGGTGTGATACGGTGAATAACCACATGATGTAGCCATCAACGCATCTCTAGTCTGTCGGCGCTCTGGTCGCCCGAGCCTCGTCAAGTACCATGTGTATCTCGTAGCCGGCATAAATTTTGTTCATCTGCATATGGGTCAAGCCGAGAGGAGCGGAGACAACTGGGTGTCTGGAAATGGTCTGAGTGTAGCCGAACTGCCGCATGATGCGCTCGAGGAAGTATCTGAGGATGTATCCTTAAACAGCTGGGTGCCGACTAAAAATAGAAAATAACATCTCAGTGTAACGCCCCGATTCTGATTTCCCATTTTTGTTGAGTCTTTTTTATTTATTTAGATGATTATTATTTTAATTGTGGAATTTATGTGTTAATATGTTATGTTTGCATATTATGCTATTTTACCGATTTGAGAGTTTTCGGGGAAAATACATTGGAGGGTATTTTAGACATTTAATATTTAATGTTAAGTTGGATATTTTGTGAGAAAATAGATTTAATAGATGTTTTGAGGGAAATAGAATAGAAAGGAATATAAGTGGAAAGAGGAGAGAAAAGAGACAGAAATAGAAAGAAGAGAAAAGGAAGAGAAAGAGAGAAGAGAGAAGAGGAGAAAGAGAGGAAAAGCTTGGATTCATCAAGAACAACATCTAGGCTTCGATTTAATCAGGTAAGAGTGTGAAATGTTATTATCTTATCAATGTTTATGATTATGTATGTGTTTGTTATATTTGATTGAATTGTTGAAGAGTTTTTACTCATTTTCTATTTTAGGGTAGAAACGAGTTTAATCGGTTAAATCGATGTTTTAATGGATAAAATATGGAATAAATGGTGTAGATTAGTCGAGAAAAGTTAGGCTAAGACTACTGGAAGTCGTTCGAATTGAATAGGTTGATTTGGTGATGATTTGATGATTTTGGACAGTTGGGATTTTGAACATTGCAGTAGTTCGCTAGGCGAGCAGGTCGCGAGTGTTCGCTGTAGAGAGCTAGTAGCGAATGGTCCCAGACTTGGACATAATGGAAATGACCCTCTTCGCTGGTAGCGAGTGAGGTAGCGAGGGGTTCGCTATGCGAAGCCCCAACGAGTAGGTAGCGAAGCCTGACAATAGCTTCTGTTTGCCTTCGCGAGCTTGTTCGCTAGGCGAACAGGTAGCGAGTGTTCGCTAGGAACTCGCTAGGCGAGCGAGCTAGCGAGTGTGACATCAACTTGTTTTATTTTGTTGCTTCCATCCGATGTTGATGATTCCGATATATATGTTTATAACGTATAGCTGTTTACCGTTATATGATATGTTATGGGTAGCCGTATGGCGTGAATCCTAGATTATGGAATCGATTATGAAATGTGGCCTTTTGACATATATATGTGCATTGTTTAAATTGATTAAAAATGCATGGTGATTGTGATGAAGTTTGTTTCCGTTTGACATGATATTGTGAATGCATATTG